TGGTGTAGTATAGTTGTGACCATTTATAATGGATGTTAATGGAGACCTTGAACACCTATTTCTCCTTCGACACAACAAGCAAAGTGTCAAGGTTATCATACTCTTTGAACTGCATTTGCAAAACATAGCACACATACACGTGTGAGATAAACTAACAAACAATTAACCCACAATGTGCAACATAGTAGACTGAAGAAAGAAATAAATGTTGTTACACGCTATGCATACCAAGTCAAATATTGTTACACACTATGCATTCCAATGTTGTTACACGCTATGCATACCAAGCAAAATATTTTTACATGTGAAGCATACCAAGTCAAATGTTGTTACACGCCAACATTGAGCCATGTCATGACATGTCAATCATATTGTGTTGTGACACGTTAACCCTACCATGTCATGACATGTTAACCCTACCATGTCGTGACACGTCGACTATAATTATTGATTCATTACACAAACTACCCTAAAATACCTAATTTGGAAACACACTAGGGATCATGCGGTTTACCCCCTAAACCCTATACAAAAGCTAAAAATCCCAAAAATTGGTTAACTTACGACACATCAGATCGAAGACTGTTTTATTCATGTTACACGATATGCAGGCCCCTTTCAAAACTTTGGTACGACCATAAACCATATGAGCAAAAATGTTGTACTTCTCTCCACAATTTACCCAGAAACCATAAAACTAGGGTGAAAACAGTTAAAAATAATGCAAAAACACAAACATATCACAGTAACCCAGCAAAAAATTACCAAACAGAAGAAAGTTTTAATCGATAACTGACTGATCTATTCACTGAGAATTGACATTGTTGCTGTGATGTCGTTAAGTTTGCACAAAACGAAGTCAAAAACTCTGGTCCTTTTGGGAATGACTAATAAATCAAACTCTCTTACTTCCTTAAACATAGCGAATGCTGAAAATATAATAAAATCCGAAAGACTTTTAAACACCTCAATTGATAATATGCATGTTGTGGAATTTCAAATGATTTCCTTGTTATTTGTCTACATTTTTTCTCTATTTCAAGCCATGGCGTTTCACATATTGAAGCCATGGTGTCTCATAGATTCTCACCATACCGTGTCACACATTTTCACCATGCCGTCTCACACGATTTCAACATACCGTGTCACACATTCCCATCATGGAGTATCACAAACTCTAAACCCTATTGTGTCACAACAGTGTCACAAATTCTTACCATGTTGTTTCACACGATTTCAACATGTCGTGTCACAGATTCTCACCATGCCGTGTCACAATCCCAACATGGCATGTCATAAACTTTAAACTCTACCGTGCCACAATCGTGTCACATATGCTTACCATGCCATCTCACATATTCTCACCATGGCGTGTCACATTTTCACACTAGTGTGTCACATATTCTCACCATGTCGTATCACATATTCTCACATTGCCGTATCACATATTCCTTCCATGGCGTGTCACAGACTTTCACCATGCCATTTCACACATTCCCACCATGGCGTTTTACAAACTCTAAATCCTGCCATTTTACATATGGCTTGCTGTAGCATGGATAGTTCATGCTTTGGATTCACATCTTCCTCCTTTTAATTCACCACTGTATCAGAGATTTCTAGTTTCACATCATTCTCAAAGCTTTGGATTCATCATGACCGATTTCTCATTCAATTTAATATAAACCTTCTCGTACTATTTGAAATGCATTTTCAACGGAATATAGTGATGCACATTTAACAACAAAACACTAAACCACATTCTTAATCAATATGGCATTCATATCACTAAACCCACAAAAAAATAGCATTCACTCATTGACGTACCGTGTAATAATTGTAAACTTATTCAAATAATTTCCTATCTGTGACCTTCAATCAAAAGATCATTCAATAGACCTGTCGTGTAATACGCATGGCATTTTAGTTTACAATGATGTCCGAAATATCAGAAAAACCATCTTTTGCAACATGATTTTGTTTTACACAAGTTTCTCAAAAAAAAAAAAAATTGGATGTTTTGCACAAAATTAGAGGGACCAAACTCTATGCAGATTTGTTTTTCTCAATATGCGAGTGAATAAGAGTGCATTTCAATGAAGAAGTCTCATTAAGGGCATTTTTGAAATTTTTTGAAGAGCTATTTCCAAAACTAAAAAATATTTTTCTCAAAAAAATAACTTATTTATTCCTGCCATAAATATTTGCATATTTGTAATAAGTTTTTTAATTGAATATTAGCATAATTTGGTGAGGAATTCAATCCTAACAACAATTATTTTAGTTTAGGAACAAGATTTGTCCAAGAGTACCGGAAGACTAGAAGCTTATAAGGTAGAGATGAAAACGTGGATGCCCTCACAAACCAAACGCAGTTATTTTGGAATTTAAGATGAGATAAATCGAAGCAATTTATTACTTATCCAAGAGGGTATTGCAAAGTTGCACATGTCTGAAATGTGGCTTGTACTGCATCACCGTGGGATTGGCTTTAGCAAACGGAGATTTATGATGGTTAATGTGAGTTCTCTTGCAGCATCTCAAGAATTGCCATATATTAATTTCTTTGTTTTGGGCGGGACTTGCTTCCGAGCACTTTTCAAGCATGCTGAGGTAAACATATCAATGAGCTTATTTCAACAGATGCAAAACATGGTAGGGTTTCCAGTTATATTAACGATTAGTTAATCGTTACTTCTGGATTAAGAGAAAAATGAGTAAGAGACCTAGCTGAATCTTAATAATTGCCAGCTTTTGGAAAGTATGTGTAACTACAAAATCTTTGATTACGTGCAGGCATTTTCCTTCAATGTTTGTTAGATTTTATAATTTTACAAATCACACTATGTTAGATAAGGTATGCAAAGTCTATGAAGAGTTTGAATACTCTTTTCGATGATTTTATTGAGAAGCCACTAGGGGTTTTTATACAAGTTTCATTTTCAATACAAAAGGAAAAATAATCTATGCAATAAAGAGGAATTCCCTAGATCAAGCCTATAATTAAGAAAAATTACAATTAGAATCATCAAATTACAATTAGAATAACCAAGTCAACCAAATCATATCAATTGAAATGGTAATCATGGCAAATTAGAATCAATAATTAAGATAGCCTTCATTATTCCCCCTCAAGTTGGAGCATGTAGATTTGCAATGCCCAACTTGATCAATAAGTCATGGAACTGATTCCGTCCTAGAGCCTTGGTGAAAATATCTGCCAATTGAAACTGTGATGAAATTGACCGTGGAACCAGAGTCTTATATTGGATATGCTGCCTAATAAAATGACAATCTATCTCAATATGTTTAGTACGCTCATAAAAGATCAAATTTGTTGCAATATGGATTGCTACCTGATTATCACAAAATAATGGAACCGGTGTTGGATGTGGGACATGTAGATCTGCCAATAGCTTGAGAAGCCACACAATCTCACTTGCTGTGGTAGCCATGGCCCTATACTCTGCTTCTGCAGAGGAACGAGAGACAACTGATTGTTTCTTATATCGCCATGAGATAAGAGATGAACCAAGGAAGCTGATGTGTCTAGTAGTTGACCTACGTGTTGTTGGGCAACTTGCCCAATCTGCATCACAATAAGCTCGAAGGGTTAACTGACTATGAGTGGGGAGAAATAAACCTTATCCTAGAAACACTTTCAAGTATCTAAGAACACACAAAGCTGCATCTAAATAAGGTTGACGCGGACAGTGCATAAACTAACTTAACATGTGAACAGCAAAACTGATATCGGGTCATGTAATTGTGAGATATAACAATCGGCCAATCATCCTTTTATACTGCCCTGGATCGGAATAAAGAGGGCCTGTATTAGGATCTAGATTGATTTGTTGGTCCATGGGTGTTAATGCAGGTTTGCAGCCAATGAGTCCGCTATCTACTAATATATCAAGCACATATTTCTGTTGGCTTAAGACAATACTAGATGGAGATCGTGCTACCTCAATTCCTAAAAAATATTTCAGCTTGCCCAAATCTTTTATACAAAACTCACGATCCAAGTGAGCTTTTAGTTGAGCAATCTTGAGCGACCCAGTCCCTGTTACTATTACATCATCAACATAGATTGATACCGCAACAAATGATTCCTTGGCCGTATATGTAAGCAAAGAATGATCTGCATAAGATTGGACAAAATCAATGGCCAGTAAGGAATTAGTGAATTTTTGGTACCAATTTCGTGATGCTTGTCGAAGCTTATAGAGTGATTTCTTGAGACGACAAACTCGCTGCTCCCCTGATTTGGCAAAGCCTTGAGGTATTTTCATATAGACCTCTTCCTCATGATCACCATGTAAGAAGGCATTGTTAACATTTAATTGGTGCAACTCCCATTTATGTACCTTAGCAACTACCAAAAGACAACGTACCATGACCAATTTTGCAACTGGAGCAAAGGTTTCATGAAAATCCACCCTTTCAATTTGAGTATATCCCTTAGCAACTAGCCGTGCTTTATAATGTTCTACTATTCCATCT